AACTGCCTGAACTTCAGACTTTTCTGGGAAACAAAACCTCCACAGAAAGTAATTCTTATCGGGAGGCACCTACCTGACTGACCGTGGGAAGGGAGGCCAGCTAGGAGGTAGCAGCGAACACGCACCTACACCCAGTGACGACAGGCCCATCTCCGGCGTTTTGTCCGGAGTCCGGAAAACAACCCGCCGGGCCTGCTCCCTCTGCGTTTCTGACTCTGGCTCACATCTCGTCATTTAATTCTTCGCTCAAGACCTTGCTGGTCCCCAGGGCCCGGCCCCGGGCTCCAGTCAACACGCTGCCTCGGTCGGTACAAGCAAAGCCCTCACCCTCCTGCTCCAGGCCGGGTCCCTGTGCTCTGCCCCTGGCGGGAGACGAGGCCCCGCGCCCCCGCGCCCCGGCGCCCCGCTCACCGCCAGCCTCTCCTCCAGGTAGTCGCGCACATCCCTCATGTGGGCCGCGTAGGCCTCGCAGTTCTCCGTCACCAGCTCGGCGGCCTGGGGACACGAGGTGGCAACGTGAGAAAGCCCCTGCGGCCGGGAAGCGAAGGCAGTGGCGAGCTCGGCGCCGCAGAGGTAACTCCTTGTGACAGACAGGGCGCGTTCCTGTTAGAACACAGGGCTTGCGGGCGACCCTGTCACGGTCGTGGTCAGTGCCTGGAGCATGGTCCCCACGCCTGATCCACAGGGTTTTTCTCACATCCGTCTGCTTACTGGGATCGTGCATGTTATCTCCCCAAAGTGCTGGACGCCTGGCAAAGCCGCAGGGGACGCTGACCGCGAGAACAGGAAACACACTCATCTCCCCAGACCAGCCAGTCCCCGTTGCTGTTCTAGTGCTTGGTCTCTGCCCGCGTCCCGTTCCGTCCCTGACACAGGGCTCCCAGATCCCTTGGAATCTCCCGGGTGACAGGAATGTCTTTTGTTTCAATGAGGCCACTGTGGATGGGCTCCTGAGTGGCGGCTGGGCACCAAAGACCAGGCCATGACAGAAGCCTGGGACTTCAGCACCCCTCTTCTCCAGACAGGGGGGCTGGAAACGGGGTCAATGCCCAGTGGAAGCCCATGAAAGCCCTGGTAGTATGGGGTTGGGAGCGCTTCCCGGTTGGTGGACACTGGGGACTGGGGGTGGCGCCCAGAGGAGTGGAGGCCCAGCCTCCCCTGCATTTACCATGTCCTTGTATAATAAACCAGGATCTAGCGAGTCAATATCTGAGTTCTGTGAGCCCCTTGACCAAATGAATCAAACCTGAGGGGTCAGGGAAACCCTGAGTTTACAGCCCGTTGGTCAGAAGCCTGGGCGACAACCTGAACTCAGGACTAGAGTCTGAAGTGTGGGGGCCTCATGGGACTGAGCCCCAATCTGCGGACCTGAGCTACCTCCGGGGGCAGCGCTAGAACTGAGAGAAGCCGCAGGATACCCAGGTGTCACGGAGAGTCACTGGGTGTGTGAAGCGCCCGCCTCGGTGTCAGGGGTGCAGAGCACGGCAGCTGTGTGACAGGAAAGGGCCCGGGAGGAAGGCACCTCCCAGGGTCCCCACTTACCTTCCCGAGGCCGGCGATCATGGGGGTGTTCTCCGTCCTGTAAGACAAGGGAGTCCATCCAGTGTCCATGCAAAGCAACTGACGAACGTCCCAGGGAGGAATCCCATCCACGTGAAAGTCATGTTCAAAAAAGACAAAATCACACCAACATCCTCCGTAAACGAGATCCATGGGGTCGCCTCGATGGCAGCTACCGCCCCCAAACCTCCTGCACTTTACTGTCCTGCCCAGTGGTGGCTGGCAGGGCCCACGGTGGGCAGTCTGCAGACCTAGAGCCTGCCCCCTGGTCCCCGCCGCCAGCCAGGCGAGGGTCCGAGCTCTTCCCACCACTGCTTCCTCAGCCGCAGGTGCAGCGAAGCCTCTCGAGCGCAGAACGGGGTGAGCTGTTCCTGGAGATTCGGGGCGCAGAGGGCGTGGCACGTGCGTGTGCGCTCGGGCACGGGGCGCGAGAACCACCAGGCCACCCACTGGTCCAGGAAGCTGAGACAGAACTCACTCTGCTTCAGGACGAACGTTCCCTCGCTCTCGGTTTGGCTAAATCACGTTTTCTTAGGCCCAGGGAGCTGGCAGCTGCTTCAGTGCACTTCCCCCTCTCGGTAAGGCGTCAGTTTTGCTCTGGCCGATTTCAAGATGTTTCTTTGTCTCTCGTCTTCAGAAGTTTATCACATGTTGTGACACGGATTCTGTAGTTTGTCCTGTCTGGGGTTTGCTCAGCTTCTTAAACGTGGTAAGTTTCTGGCCGTTATTTCGAGTCCTTTCCAGTCCCCCTTGCTCTCCTCCTGGGGCTTCACCGAAATGCACCAAGACCCTTGTTACAGTCACACGGGTCCCTGAGGTGCTTCAATTTCCCCCACTATTTCTTTTCTGTTGTTTAGACGGGACAGTTCCACTTACTCCTCTCCCTTTGGGCTCATCGACTCTTCCCTCTGTCCCCCATTCTGCTGCACAGCCCGTCCACTGAGCTTTACTTTAGATGCTGCAGCTTTTAGTCGAAAGTTTCCACTTAGTTCTGATGCCAGGCAGGGCTGCCTCGGCCAGGAGGGAGGCTGCGCTGCCACCAAGACAGAGCCACGCCCCAGAGACACAGTCAGAGACCCGCTCACCCGCCGCCTTACCCCGGCCTGAAGCTCCGTTCCTGTCCACCTCCGAACAGCATGGGGTGCAGGGGGGTCTGTTCCCCAAGTCCTCGGACGTACAGTGCTCCGATCCTGGGGCCGTAGAACTGAAGGAGAAGTGAGTCATTACTAAGCAAGGACCATCCGAGGATGCACGCGTGCTGGGTGCTGAGAGGCAAAGAGACTGTGCCACATGCGGGCTCCACCGCATTGCCCCCCCCGCCACTCCCAACACACCAGAGTCAAAGAAGCTCTGGGAGGCGGAGGTGGGTCAGGGTGGACTCCAGTACTGGCAGTGGGGTGGCAGAACCCCCCGCATACGTGGTCAGCTTTGTAAAAGGACAGGGGCTGGAATTGGAGATCACTGAAGGCTTCCTCTGGGTGTGTTTCACATAGAAATTACAAAAGAACTGTAGGTGCCAGGATGCCAGGCCAGAGCCCACCCCCTGAAGCCCAGCCAAGTGCTGTGCCTCAGAGCAGAGCACTGGAGACACCAGGCCCCAGTCACCACCAGAGGGATAGCGACAGCTTCCCCAGGGTCTCCACAGTGAGCGGTTCCCTTTATTCCACCTCAAAGCCGTGTTGCTGAACTAAACCTTTATAACATCAGAAGCCTCACTTTAAACCACAGGAGAGAAAGAGACACTTTCTTGAAGTTTGCATCTCTCATCCTCGAGGGAGGGCTGAGTGGGCTGCTATGGGGGCTGCTGACACCCTCTCTGCTGCGGAGAACAGGTGCCACCTGGCTGTCCCACCTGCAACCCCGATGCCCGCCCACTGCCTTGCCTGCCTGTCCCCCTCCTGCCCTGGAAGGGTTGGGTGCCTATTATCCCAGCCATGGCGCTCGTCACATAACATCCTGGCTACCACTGGTCCCCCCTCTGTGAGCTCCTGAGGGCAGTGAGCTGCCGTAACAGCGTCCCAGGGCCCAGCTCTCAGTGGCACTCAGGTGCCCTGGAGGA